CACAAACAGGAAATTACCACGTATTGCAGATCAATTTCTGGCAGTAGTTAACCAAAATAACAGCTACATTTCAGCCAGGTATTTTTTGCTTTAGTATTGATGCATATCATACAGTATATTCTACTGTTGGCTACATCTGGATAAAACTGCTGTTTCTGTGTTTATATACTGTATGTGCATATACAGTAGTTGCTTGTTCTGAATAAAATGACTTTTTTTACTTTTATTTGGTAAATAAAGTTTTCAAAGAATACAGTGGGAGTCATATACAGTATAATACAGTTTAAACTGTGTATTTATTGGTAGCATGATCATATTCCTCAAAAGCAATTAAACACATCACACATACCGTATATATATATAAATAATACTGGTTAGTTGAGACAGAGCTATGGGTTGTGTTCTTCAGTGTCAGGATTATGGGTGCATGCTTTGACAGGCACAGCACATTGTTTTGTTGATGGAAAAACAAAAGCACCAAAGACAGTTTTGTTTTGGGATCGAACAGGTCAGTGGACCCCCAGAAACTTCCTCTCTGAGTTGAGGAGGTATTAGTCACAGGATATCCCTTCAGTGGAAGGTGTAATCTGTTTGTCAACTAGCCGCTGAAGGCTTTGATACAGCGGTCTGTTTTCCATCTTTAAAACCTGGTATGGGGGCGAACTGAGCTTGGAGCTGACCGTAAAGAGTGAAATACAGCACTCGGAGGATTAATGAGAACAGTTTTGTGTAATTTGGACCTGTTTTCATGTGTATCAGTATTTCCAGAAAACAAACAGCCCTTTAAAATTTAAAATGAAACATGCACCTGGTGTGGCTCTCAGAGTGTAGCCTAGAGGATCTTCAAAGGGTCATTCTTTGGATGATAAAGGTGAAGTATATTTTTCTCCTGAGCACCTCCAGCAAAATCCTCTTTTTTCACATGTACTTGTATTATTTACATTGGAGAGTCAGAATACAATTGAAGTCTTGCATTCCACTCTTATTCCTCATCTATGTTTGTCATGTCTTAAGGCAATGACTTTTCACACAGAGCTGTTGCATGAAACAATTCAGAGAAAACAGTACTGG